AAAATTTCTTAAGGGAATAGATAATAAACATTCTCACCACACAAAAAACAAAAAGATAGTAACTGTGAGGTGATAGATGTGTTTATTAACTTGAGGGTGGTGGTCATTTCACAATGTAAATGTGTATTAACTCATTGTACACCTTTTTAAAAAAATCACATCATACAACCTAAATGAATACAATTTACAGTTGTCAATCATACCTCAATAAAGCTGGTAAAAAAAAAAATTAAAAATGTTTAAAAACCACATTCGTTGTTGTTCAGGTTTAAGCTTTGGCTTTCTGGTAGACCCGCCTCAAGAAATGCGCCCCAAACATTCTCCCGTCCCTGTATCTCTGTATATATGTGTCACTTCTCCCATCAAGTCGCGGAGTCTACTACTTCCCGTTTCCTTGAGTCTGGGTTGATCTTCTGATTTGCCTTCGCCAAAAAAATACAGTGGAAGGGACACAGTGCCGCTTCCTGGCTGAGGTCCTGCACAGCAGCTCCCCATTTTGCCTCCTTAGAATCCAGCCACGGTGGAAAGGAGCCTGGGGTGATTTTGGAGGATCGTTTGACTCCTACCATTCGCGTCCACAAGCACACCCCTTAGTATTTCCCCCAAAGGAGTTGAGAAACTTACGTCCACACGAAACCTGCACACAGTTTTATTCATAATTGCCCAAACTTGGAAGCACATGTTCAGGAGGTGAAGGGACAAAGAAACTATGGAACATCCAGACAATGTCACAGTATTTAGCGCTAAAGAGAAAAGACACGGAGGGAACGTAGATGCGTGTTATGGAGTGAAAGAAGCCAACCTGAAAAGGCTACACACTGTACCATTCCAACTCTGTGACGTTTTGGAAAAGGCAAAGCTCAGAAGTGATCTTACTTCCCAGCATCCAGATCGTTCCCCCGCCCCCTGCTCCCGGAGGCCTCTAGTCCCTTCCCTCCCTTGCTTAGTCAGAAGAGAAGTAGCTACGGGAGGTAGAGAGCTAGCTGGCGAGGGGAGGGAGCCACCCTTTTGCTTGAAGAGAGGGAAGCTCTTGTTTCAGAACTTCCTCAAACATCCCACACCACCCCCAGCACAACTACACCGTAGGGACAGCATTCGATCGATGGAGCCTCCCAAATGTCCCAGCCCAGTAATTCAGAGCAGCCGGGGGGGAAAATCCCCGGGGCCCGGGGGTGTGTGAATGCAAATGTAGGATCGAACTCAGGCACACCCTCCCCCAACCTCTGCGCCGGTGAATTCAGCTGGCTACATCCCTCTCTAGCTCTGTGGCTGTGGAAGATGGAAGTCAAAGCTAGACTCGCTTGCAGCCATGTGAAGGTTCAGAAAGGTGACCCTGTTTCGCACAGGCATGAGCCCTCGGTAACAATGTGTCTTTGGGTTGGTGGTGTTTTCCCTTTTATTATTACAAATCGCACCACCATCTAACTTATGTGTGATCATCTGCTTTTGTAATGTGTGAGAGCGTACTTAACGAAAGGAAAGAAAAGCCTCAAGGGGCGCCTGGGTGGCTCAGTCGGTTAAGTGTCCGGCTTGGGCTCAGGTCATGATCTCACGGTTCTTGCGTGGTTTGGAGCCCAGTATTGGGCTCTATGCTGACAGAGTCTGGAGGCTGCTTCGGATTCTGTGTCTCCCTTTCTTCTCTGCTCCTCCCCTGCTCACGCTCTCGCTCGCTCTCTCCCTCTCTCTCTCTCTTTCTCAAAAATAAACATTTAAAAAATAATAAGGGAGGAAAATCTGTGAAGTAAAACTGATGGCAGAAAGGGAAGTTGCATTCTGGTATCTTGACTAATTTTGCCGTCCTTGCAAAACGTTGGATCCATTTCACATCCCCGCGTCCAGGGGTGAGGATGTTTCCCAGCCACGCTCTCGAAATGCGGCAAATCATCCAGTGCTTTGATCTTTTACCAAGTCACAGGTGAAAACGAAAAAGTGTATTCCACATGCTGTTAACTTCCAAATTTTTGTGTCCTGAGAAGAGAGTGTATATTTCGATGCTGTTTCATGTGCACATGCATTTCTCTTACAAGCTGGCTGCTTTTTCTGTTTCATCTTTCTAGAAAATATTAGTCATTTCTTAAAGCCATCGCTTGTAAGATATTAATACTTTAAAGGAAATCAATTGCCATCAATGTCTTACCAACCTTTCCTTTTCTTCTCTTGCTCCTTATCTTCCATGTGTGTGCCATTTAACTTGGTATTTTTAATGAAGGGATTATTCACTTATACGTGAAATAGAGCATCATTCTCTTTTATGCCTTCTTAGTTTAAAAAAAAAAATTTAATGTTTACTTCTGAGACAGAGAAAAAGAGCATGAGCAGGGGAGGGGCAGAGAGAGAGGGAGACACAGAATCCCAAGCAGGCTCCAGGCTCTGAGTTGTCAGCACAGAGTCTGATGCGGGGCTCGAACTCACAAACTGCGAGATCATGACCTGAGCTAAAGTCAGTCACCCAACCGACTGAGCCACCCAGGTACTCCGGCTGTTTTCTTGACAAATCACTGTGCCAGTATGAATTTTTATGAATTTGCCACACGTTCGGCATTTTTATGGTTTGGGTTTTTTTTGGTTTGGGTTTTTTTTTTTTTTTTTTTTTTTTTTTTTTCGTTTTTACACTTGAATCTTTGACCCAGCTGGAATTTACTTCACGTTACTCCATCTTTTAAGCTTTTCTGTCAATCGGTGATGGATATGATTTGCATTTTATTGCGCAGAGAAGCTGATACCCTTTTTCTGTGTTTATATGCCACTTAAATTCCTTTCTTGGCGAATCATCTGTTTGTCCTCAGTCGTTCTTCTAATGCATATTTCACAGGAGAAAATAACCAAATCGGGAGCGGGCCTTCTCTGAGCATTTGCTATATGCTTGCACGATGCTACGGCCTTCACACGTCTTTCCTTTGAAACTTATCATGGCCCACTTATGGATGGGAACGTTCACTTTAAAAGCAAATGACGGCATGAGTTTCCCAAAACCTCAAAGCTAAAATGTAACGTTTTGGAGACTGGAATCCAGGTGCGTTGGGGGACTACAGACTCCACGTACTTGACCACACCCTCTGTAGCAATTATTTCCACCATGGCTGGTCTGGAGGCGGGGAAGGGACAACAGTCAGACCGCAGGAAGCCATCAAAAGTCCATTGAGGGGAACATGCATAATGGGAACTGGAAAGATCTGGAGATGCGGTTAGTTAGTGGGTGAAGCTAGACTTTAGAACCCCGCAGGGGTATCTTACAGTAAGAAAGAAGGTGGGAAAGAATTCCTAGGATCATGCCGCTATGTTCAGGAAAGCTTGAGTTGGGGGCCAGCTGAACCGCCAGACATAATCCTAGGGCTTCAGGGAAGGGAATTCCTCTAGTAGTTGAAGATCCCCAATCACCTGCGTCCCAAGGATTCTGGACATGTTTGACTCCTTTCTTTCTTTCACCTGCCCCTCCCCCACCCCCGCCCCGTATCAGCCTGCGCGGTTGGCTCAGGCTCTGACACCTGTCCTGCCCTCATCCCCCAGACCAGGCTTCCATGACTCCTCACTTTGGGATGAAATTTTCCAATTCCGGGGTCTACAGGTAAAGCTTCAGAGAACACAGCCGCAGGCATTTGTCAATTGCAGCTGAAGCCGCTTTCCTGCGGGGCCAGGGAGGGGTCAGAGTCACCGATATGGACTGCTATTGGCACAATCGTATAAGCCCAGGTGATCTCTCAACATTTTGTGACTGTTCCATTATTACTGGGTTCTTTCTTTTCAATGTTTGTTTGTTTGTTTGTTTTTGAAAGAGAGAGCGCAAGCAGGGGAGAAGCGGGGTGGAGGGGGGAGGCAGAGGATTCGAAGTGGGCTCAGCGCCGACAGTAGAGAAGAGGGAAGCAGCAAGCCCCATGCGGGGCTCCAACTCGCCAACCTTGAGATCACCACCTGAGCCGACGTCTGACGCTCAACCGACTGAGCCACCCGGGGCGGAGGGGGTCCCCATTGTTACTGGATTCTGTGGTGGCCACAACAAAGCACCACAAATGGGGCAGCTTAAAACGAAAGATATTTATCCTGTCACAGTTCTACAGACCAGATGTCTGAAATGAAGGCGTCCACAGACCTCACTCCCTCTGAAGGCTTTCGGAAAGGATCCTTCCTTGCCTCTCCCCGGTGTCTGGCGTTTCGGGGCAATCCTTGGGGCTCCCTGGCTTGTAGATGAATCAATCTCTCTGACGTCCGCTGCCATGGTCGCATGGCCATCATCCTTCTGTGTCTCTGTGCGCCCTCTCCTTTCCTTACGAACTTGCCATTCACTGGATGCAGGCTCCCCGTGCCCCAGTGAGGTCACATACCAACCGAGGGTCTGGGTGGACACGAATTTGGGTGAGGGGGACACTGTTCAACCCACCACAGCCGTCAGGCACAGGCGACCTCTGAGAGGAAGAGAAAACTGAAGGGAGACGTGGGGTGTTTATGAGAGCCGGCCACCCGAGTGACCATTCAGCTGCTTCTACTCTCTTCCTGGCGGCAGGTCAGCCGCACGGCCCCGGCCGTGCAGGGCGGCTGAGAAACTCGAAAGAAGCACCTGGATATTTGGGGAGCCTCCCTGACATCTCTCTGGCTGCTGGTTGGACCCCTGGTGCCCGGAACAGCATCTGGTCCATAGGGGATGCTCAGTGAAGGTTTGTTGAATGAGTGAACGAATGAATGAACCAACGAACGAACCAACGAATGAATGAATGAATCTGAGGAAGGTGGGGATAAGAAGCCAAACAAGAAGACTGGAGGGCACGGGGGGGGGGGGGTCAGATCCCTGGCACACCCCTCTGCGAGCTGGGGGTGAGCAAATGCCGGAGGAGGGGATTTCCCTGCTCGGTGAACAACGAAATCCCTCCCCTTTGCCGGACATCCCCAGAGTGGGGTGGGGCGGGTCTTCGGCAGGTTCGGGCAGGCCGAGGCCTCCAGGCTGTGCGCTGAGGTTTCCTGTGCTCCCGGCTCCCTGGCTCGCCCCGCGCTCCGCCGGCACAGGGCCCATGCGGCGCTGGCTGCGAATCATGGTGCCGGAGGAGGGCTCTGGCTGCCCGGTGCCCCGCCTGCCCTGGACGTCCGTGCTGCGCCTGGCCCTGATCCTGTCCCTTACCGGCGTGGTGGCATACTGCTTCCTGTGCATCCAGCTGCGCGGCCAGCCCGAGTCACCTGCGGTGAGTAGAAAGGGGAGGAGGAGAAAGATGCAAACCTCCCACCCGCTCTGCGGAGCCTGGGGACCTCGGGGTGCGGCCGGCTTTGTGGGGGCGCAGCGGAGAGCGGTGAACAACCAGGAAGAGACTGGGATCCAGGCAGAGGGACGGTGCGTTTGGGCGCAGGCGGACAACCGACCCAAAAATAAATCAGTAAAAATCAAAATGAGATGGATAAAAATCGTCCCGGAAGATCTGGGTGGGAAGGGATAGAGACCTAGCCGGCTGTTCGGCACGGCTGCCCAGGAGGTCTGGGCTGGAGGGGGGGGCGGGGGGTGGGGGGGGATGTCAGCTGCGCCCTGGAGGTGAATCCCGGGTGGGGATCCCGGGGTGGGGTGGTTGCTGCTAGGAAAGGAGCATCCGATGCGGGCATGTAAAATGACTCGTCTTTGGTGTTCCCCACCCGGCTGACTCAGCCGCTGCTGGGGGCTTCACAAAGCGGGGAAGGGGTGGGCTCCGGGCCTCCACGGGCAGGGCAACCCGCACGGCTCACCTGGGAGCCCTGCGCACCCACCACAGGGACCCCCTTTGGGGGCAACTCCCGGGGTGGGGGGAGGGCTTTGCAGCCAAGGGAGCAGGTGTAGGCAGTTAGTTCAAAGTTACTTCCTCTTTAAAAGATCTTTTTAAAAAAGTCACAACTCAGTCCAACTGTTTGAGAAGTGGGTGGGAAGATGAGCAGAGGAAAGAAACGTCTTGGTCTTGGTGGGGGCACCGTGGGGGGGGGGGGCTTAAAACGCCCGTGCCGATGTGCTCACGCGTATTCTCTCCTTTTCTATCAGCGGGACATGGCTGAGCTCCAGCTGAATCACACAGGTAACCCCGTGTGCATGTGTAGACGGGAGAAAGAGAAATTGAGATAAAGAGAGAGACAGAAAGAGAGAACTAGAGAAAGGGAGAGAAAAAGGAGGAGGGAGGGAAGGAGGCAAAGAGAAAAAGGGGGAACGGAGAGGGAGGGAGGGAGGTGAGGCAGTGCGTTTCTGGGTCTCTACTACCTGACTACTTCTCTCAATTCCTCAAGTTTTATAAGAAACCAAAAGGCCTCTCATCAAAGTCACCAGGTGCCTCCGTCCACCCACCCCAGACACTAACCGAGCAGCCACTGTTCTAGGTCCCACAACAGAAAAGAGATGGGTGCTTCCCTTCTGCCCATAGGCTCAGACAGTAAATGAATGAACACGGAAAATGTGTAGCGTGGCGAGCAGAGTACAGCACGTCTATGATATGTTTTGCAGAAAAATTAGGCAGGATCTGGGAGCACCTGGGTTAGTTTTGCCATCAACCGTGGGCACGGTGTCCCTGAGAAGGCAGCCTTAGAGCAAAGAGGTGGTGAAGGAGCCCGCCATTTGGCGGCCCGTGGGGAGATCATTTCCCGCCCGTCCTCCTTCTAAGCCTCCCCACCGTGGGGTCTTTCCCCCTCATCCCCAGAGGTCTGGATGCCGTGTTCATTCCATTCTGTAATGGAGTGAAACCTGTTCCTCTTTTTCTTCTCTGGCACTTTCCATTCTGGCTGCTAGAATGCTTACGTAGGCTGAGTAGTTAACAGCAGGCGTTTCTTCCTCGTGGTTCTGGAAGCTGGAAGCCCAATATCCAGGCACCGGCAGCTTCGGTGAGAACCCGCTCTCTGGTTTCTAGACAGGCATCTTCTCACTGTGTCTCCACAGCTTGGAAAGGGGGGAGAGGGCTCCAGCCTCGCAGTCTCATCCCCTCCCAAAGGCCCCACCCGACGCCATCACCTTGGGGGTTAGGTTTCAACAGAGCAATTTTAGACATTTGGTCGATAGCACTGTTTCCCTAAACGTCTGTCCTCCCCACATCCCTCCGTCCAGGACAGCGGCAGAAAATCACACTGCACTGGTTCGGAGGCCCAGCCCTGGGCCGCTCCTTCGTGAATGGACTGAGGCTGGATGACAACGGGCAGCTGTGTGTCCAGCGCGATGGAATCTACAGGCTGCACATCCAAGTGACGCTGGCCAACTGCTCCTCCTCCACGCAGGCCACCAGGCCCCCCAGGGCCACCCTGACAGTGGGCATCTGCTCCCCAGCCGCCCACAGCATCAGCCTGCTGCGTCTCAGCTTCCACGGAGGTTGTGTGGCTTCTTCCCAGCGCCTGACGCCGTTGACCCACGGGGACACTCTCTGCACCAACCTCACCCTGCCTCTGCTGCCCTCCCCAAATGCTGATGAGACCTTTTTCGGGGTTCAGCTGGTGCACCCCTGACTACTGCACGTCCTGGCCCAGATTTGTTGGGAGAGTGTATTTTCTCTCTCTCCCTCTTTTGTTCCCCCCTCCTCTTATAAAATGCTTTTGTCCTGGTGTGCTTTGTAATATACTGATTTACAATCTGCTTGGTCTTCATCCTCACTTCTGGCCTACGTTTTTGGAATTTCCAAGCGTGGAGCGGGAGCCTGGTGCCTTTTGTTGCATAAACGAGGTGACCTTGGGAAAGCCCTTAGGTCACCTAAAGAGGTGGGCCTGGCTGCGGAGGGAACTCACCCAGGGATATGGAGTTGGAACTTTCAGTTCCTGCTCCCCTTGCCTCCAGGGAGGGTAGAGAGTCTGGAGACAGAGCTCAATCAGCGACGGCAAGGGATTTAATCAATCCCATCTGTATAAACAGTGTGGCGGTTCCTCAGAAAATTAACACTAGAACTCCCCTAGGACCCAGCAATAGCACTGCTAGGAATTTACCCAAGGGATACAGGGGTGCTGATGCCTAGGGGCACATGGACCCCACCGTTCATAGCAGCACTCTCCACAATAGCCAGATCATGGAAAGAGCCTAAGTGTCCATCAACTGACGAATGGATTAAGAAGATGTGGTTTATCTATACGATGGAATACTACATGGCAATGAGAAAGAATGAAATCTGGCCACGTGTAGCAACATGGATGGACCTTGAGGGTGTTATGCTGAGTGAAATAAGTCAGGCAGAGGACAGACACCATATGTTTTCACTCATAAGTGGAACAAGAGAAACTTAACAGAGGACCATGTGGGAGGGGAAGGGGAAAAACAGTTGGGGAGAGGGAGGGAGGCAAACCATGAAAGATTCTTGAATACTGAGAACAAGCTGAGGGCTGATGGGGGTAGGGGGAGGGAAAGGCTGGTGATGGGCATGGAGGAAGGCACTTGTGGGGATGAGCACTGGGTGTTATATGGAGACCAACTTGACAGTAAACTATAAAAGAAAAAAAAAAAGGAAGCCTCCTTATAAATGGAGAAGGATGGGGTTAGGAGCTTTGGGACTGGAGAGCGCGTGGAAGTCCGGAGAGGGTGGCCGCCCATGGAGAGAACATGGACGGGGTTGATGGAACATCACTCACACCACTTTGGTCTTGGTGCTGCCTGATTCACACTGATTTTTTTTCAAATAAATTCTCAAAAATGTTGATGTGCCTCAGTTTATCTTTTAACAGATCTCTATACCTTCGAACGTATCAGAAGAATCCACTTACTTATTGTCTGTCTTCCTGCCACATCCCTCGAGAATGAAGGCTCCTTGAGGGGAGGGATTGCAGGCTGTGCTATTCACAACCAGAGCCCCACGCTGAGGGAATGAATTCAGTCAACTAGAAAGCCACCATCACAAGCTCACATAGCAATGTGCACAACTAGCACAAACATCTTGATTTCTTTTTTTTTTATTTTTTAAAAAAAAATTTTTAAGGTTTTTATTTATTTCTAGAGAGAGAGACAGCGTGAGCAGGGGAGGGTCAGAGAGAGAGGGAGTCACAGACTGAAACAGGCCCCAGGCTCTGAGCTGGCAGTCAGCACAGAGCCCGACGCGGGGCTCGAACCCACGAACCGCGAGATCATGACCTAAGCGAAAGTTGGACGCTTAACTGACTAAGCCACCCAGGCGCCCCAAACATCTTGATTTCTAATACCATTCTCCATTAGAAAAGGAATCAGGGGGGTGCCTGGGGTGGCTCAGTGGGTTAAGCATCTAACTCCATTTTAGCTCAGGTCAGAATCTCATGGGAGTGAGATAGAGCCCCTAGTCGAGCTCTGTGCTGGGCATGGAGCCTGCTTAAGATACTCTCTCCTCTGCCCCTCCCTTACTTGCACTTTCTCTCTCTCTTCCAAAAAAAAAAAAAAAAAAGGAATCAGGGCTTCTTAGAGAAATGGCTGATTGTAGGACTAGGGCAAAAAAATACGCAAGATGAGCATGGTGCATTGGGTAAGTGGCAGAAATAAGGATGAGAAAGTAAGAAAGAAAAAGAAAGAGAGAGAGACCTGGGTGGTTCAGTCAGTTAAGAGTTCGTTAAGCATCTGACTCTTGCTTTCGGCTCAGGTATATGAGTTTAAGCCCTGAGTCAGGCTCTGCATTGACCCTAAAGAGACTGCTTTGCTATTCCATCTCTCTTTCTCTCTGCCCCTAGTGTTCTCTCTGTCTCTCTCAAACTAAACAAATAAACTTTTAAAAATTATATAAAAAAGAAAGAAAAGACATATTGATCTGTGTATGCGGAAGGAGCACAGAAGCCAACTGACAAAGCCCCCAGTGGCTAAAGTTGGAACAATTTGAGCAATAAAATAAATAGAATAGTATTGGATTATAATTCAAAGTATAAAATAAACATCCATGAGTCCATATTCATATAAGTAAGTGATTGAATATATTTATAAGTGGGGAAGAGCCAAAACCTTTGTGTGGAATTTCAAATAATTTATGTTGTTCACCTTAAAAATGAAACTGCCAGGGACACATGGGTGACTCAGTCCGTTGAGCATTGGACTCTTGATTTCAGCTCAGGTCAAGATGCCAGGGTCATGGGATCGAGCCCCACATCTGGGTCCTAGCTGAGCATGGAGCCTGCTTGGGATTCTCTCTCTTTCTCCCTCTGCCCCTTTTCCCTGCTCTCACATCCTCTCTCTCGCTCTGTAAAAAATAGAGGGTGGCTCAGTCAGATAAGCATCCGACTTCAGCTCAGGTCATGATCTCATGCTCACCATTCTGTGCTGCACAGTTCTGTTCTCTGTCAGCACAGAGCCTGGAGCCTGCTTCAGATTCTGTCTCCCTCTCTCTCCGCCCCTCCCCCGCTCGTGCTCTGTCTCTCTCTGTCTCTCACATATAAATAAATTCTTAAAAGGTTTAAAAATAAATAATAAATAAAACTGCCAGTTATTTCACCAGCAAAATGGATATATTCAGGAATAACAGAAAACTACAATCCAGGACAAGCAAGCTAACGGCAAAACCAAAGGCAAGTCTGCCAAATAAAGGAGAAGACTGCTCTTTAGAAGCAGGGAATTGGGAAGGCTGTCATAAACAAAAAGTCTATTAGAGTTACCTGGAAGGGTTTTTCGTTTTTATGTTTATTTATTTATGCTGAGAGAGAGAGGGAGAAGGAGAGAACGCATGTGAGCAGGGGCGGGGCAGACAGAGGGAGAGAGAGAATCCCAAGCAGGCTCCACTGACAGCTCAGAGCCCCGTGCCCTGCCCCTGCCGGGGTCCATCCCACCAACTGCAGGACCTTGACCTAAGTAGAAATCAGGAACCCCAGGCTTAACAGACTGAACCACTCAGGTGCCCCAACCTGGCAGTTGGAGGGAGAGTTGCTTCTCATTGGCTGAGCTGTGACTGTCTCTTATTGGCTGCGTTGTTGCCGGGGGAGGAGGAAAACTATCTTCTTCCTGCTGGGGTGGTAAAGTTGTATTCATGCTCAAGGGGCATCTCTTCCGGTTGGATTTGCAATTAGTGGCGAGTGGTAGGGCATGAGAGCTCCCTCTGACACACACCCCGACTCCATTTTAGTGAGGCTTCCCTTTATCAGTTTTCGCAATGTAGCCAGTCCATCCTAACGGCGGGACTACAATCCCCTTCCTTAGGTGTGGGCTGCACATAGGGACTTCCTTCCAAAGAGGACAATGTAGAAAGTGCGGGGATGAGCAGGAGCTTTACCAACACACGTCAGCCAGGTGACCAAGGCCAACATCCAGAGTGGTAAGCCATGGGGACAGCACACACCCCCGGTATGAGTACGAGAGGGTGAGAGGGACATTTCACCCAGGGGTCTTCCTCCCAAAATCCATCACCTCAGTCTAACCATGAGAAAAACATCAGATAAAGCCCAAGAAGGAGGCAGCCTAATAAAATGCCCAACCAGTCCTCTTCAGAATGCTCAAAGTCATCAAAAACAAAGAAAGTCTGGGAAACTGTTGCAGCCCAGAGGAACCTAACGAGATATGATGACCAAATGTACGTGAGAATTGTGGATAAGATCCTGAACAGAAAAAAGATACGAGAGGAAAAGCAAAGAAATCTGAATCAACTGTGGGATTTTGTTAATAATAATGTATCAGTATTGGTTCACGAGTTGTGTAGCAAAGGTACTACGCTAATGTAAGATGTTAAAAATAGAGAAATGGTGTGCACGGAAGTATATTAAAAAACTACATTCTTTTCTCAATTTTCCTGTAAATCTAAAACTGTTATAAAAAAAATAAAGTTTATTTGTAAAAAAATAAATAATTAAAGCAATAAAAATTGCCTCTGTGGAAGGATGCTGTAGCCAGGGAAGGGATTCTAAGTGTCAAAATTTCAAGCAGTGGATTTGTAAAATTCTAGCTTCCAAGGTGATCTCCCCAGGGTACACAAGATGATGTCAATTAGATGTAAATGTTTAAATTTAGTACACCCATGCTCACAGCACCACTATTCAATGTAGCCTACAAGTGGAAGGGTTAACAAATGACTCATTAAATAAGAGTAAAAATCATTGAAATTAAGAGCTAGCTCTTTGAAAAGTAAACAAAATACTTTTAGTTAGACTCGACAAGAAAAAAAAAAGAGAGACTAAAATAAATAAAATCAGAAACGTAAGAGGATTCATTACAACGGGTTCCACAGAAATACAAAGGATCATAAAAGGGCTCAAGAACAATTAGAAAGTTACCCCGTGCTCATGGATTGGAAGAATTAATATTGTTAAAATGTCCACATTACCCAAAGCCATTTACAGATTCATTGCACTCCCTATCAAAATTCCAATGGTATTTTTCACAGAAATACAAAAAATAATCCTAAAATTTGTATGGAACCACCAAAGACCCCACATAGCCAAAGGAATCTTAAGGGGGGGGGGGAAAATGCTGCAGGCATCATACTTCCTGATTTCAAACTATATTACAAAGCTATCGCCATCAAAACAGTAAGGTATTGGCATGAAAACAGACACATCAGTCAGCAGAACAGAATAGGGTCCAGAAATAAATCCATGCATATGGATTAATGTCAATTAATCCACGATAAATGAGCCAAGAATATGCAATGCAG